TTAACTTAATCTTGTGGCTGCAATTGACGGAGGTGGAGTGGTAGATTCAAGTTGGGTCAAGTGAGGATTTACTGGAGGAGTTAAGGGAGTAGAAACCATTAACTTTTCGAACATAGTAGTGTAGGAACTTCCAATGAGCTCATGTCATATAATGACATGGAGGCTAATATCATGAAAACACCCCCTAGAAAAACATTGAATCCTTCCGAAAGATGCATTTTATCCTATTTTTGGAAATTCAATAAAAATGAAGGAAAATAAATTTCTATTATTTTCCTCACTAAAACGAGAGGTATGTTTTTAAATATATTGTATTTTCATTTTTTCTCCTTCAAGTTTTTTTACTTTTCTTTTCTAATCAAAGAAGAAAAATATTTTCTACCTCATTTTTTTCCTTTTCAAATTTCTTGAATCAAAACATAGTGTTAGCCACTCTAGTTTAGAATTAGAACTAGGGAGAACTCCCTAAATAAGAGTAAAAACTATGAAAGTATCAAAATAAGAGTTGACACTCACTACATTGTCACATTGTAACTGCGACATATCATCATTGTCGGCTACTAGAATGCCGCCGGAAATCACCGTTGATTTATTGATCACACTGATACATTACAATGTCATCATTTTTCCATCACACTGCAAACACGTAGTCTTACACCACACTGTCGTTATACTCATATTTTGGTCTTAAAAGATTTAATCCTCTTATTTTACAATTTTCATACTTTTTTACTTCTATCAAGAAAGATTTTTGTAGAACTACTCGGTAACATCTTTTCTGTGAGATATTTCTCTTATATTAGAACCATGAAAATATGTCAATGGATTGGTCTTAGACTCAAACTCAAATAAACCTTACATCCAGGCATTGTGTCCAGCAATGATGATCGAAATTGTCAACATGAACCAAAATGTGAATCTGAAAAGTATTGTGGATGGAAGTAAAAATGGAGAAATAAGCCTTGGATTGGCAAAGCCAAACTCTTTCAGAGGCAAAGAAAACTTATGAAACCAGCAACGAGGAGCCTGACGAAGACTGTTTTATTTTTTGTGTAATTGACACACGAGATTATTATTGGAAGGATCAAAACCAAGTGACAGATTCATATGAACCTCCTCATGAAGACCTTGGGTCCACCTGGTCAAGCTCGAGACCCCCTGTCTCAAGAACCTCTATGGCCAAGACTCTGGGACCGTGTTACTTCTCAAGGTTTTAGAGCTTCAATTCACGTCATTGATACATTTGTACCCCAGAACCTTGGGAGATCATCATCATGAACTAGAGAACTAGTGGAACTTAGAATTTGTTGTGAAGCTATTTTGACATTAATATTTTTCGACAAGCTATTCTGATTCGAAATCCACCACGCGCGGGTTCAATCCCTGTCGTTCGGAAACTGGACACAACTTGGTGTACGAAATAGCCTAGGAACAAATATTAATTTCACATAGTTCAACTCATTTAGTCATTTTGAAGATTCCTTTCATCAATCGACGAATGTAACGTTAATTCCTTCACTACTAACGATGGACCATGCACATTTTGTCGGAAATTTTCATCGTCTTTTTGTAGTGAAGAGGTTAGTGGAAATGTTGATGTATTGTTCGATATGAGTAAAGGAAAATCTTTCTGCACAAACTTCACATCCCAACTCACAAAGTATGGATGATGAGTACCAAGATTAAAGAGACACCATCCCTTTTGACTAAATGGATATCCAACAAAATTATATTCTCTAAAATGACTAACGAATTTATCTCCTCTATGATGTTGATTATGAGTAAAGACAATATAACAAAAAACTTTGTATTTGAGCATAGTCAAGAGCAACACTAATTAGAACTTCACGAGAGTATCTCCGTCTAGAATAGACTTAGGTGTGTGGTTAATAAGATAACCAGTACTAAGAGTGCAATCAGCCTAGAATTGAAAGGTAACATTCTTTAAAACATAATGCCCGAGCCACATTGAGGATGTGATGATATTTGTGTTCAACTTTTCCATTTAGCTGAAGAGTTCCAACACAAGAGGATTAAATATTAGTAAGGTCACAAACTTGTGAACTTTATTCCATTGTCACTTCCTCAACATTACATCTTTTTAGTAAATGTTCTCTCACTGAGAGCAAAAAGATTTCGAATGACATGAGGAGCCTCATCCTATTGAGTTAACAAATATACCCTCACAACATGAGAGTATTCATCCCTAATTATAAACAAATGACTAGCACTAGATAGTCCAAGAAGGAACACGATACGCTTTTCACGTACATGATGTTGTTGAGCGGAGCTTGTACAGTTCTTTTGGGCCGAGGTGGAGAGAGTTGTGTCATTGGCTAACACGCACATCTGCTTTGCCTACCATCAGCGTCATTCTCCCTTCCGAGTTCATGCTCTATCCGGAGGAGACAGAGTTGAGGATACGTCTAGAGAATATATGTGAGTTCATGCGATGGGAGGAGGTCGATCAGACCATCATCATTGTTTTCTTGAGATATGCCAAGCACTACGTACGAATAAAATGCAATCATGTTCTCATTGTACATGAGTTTATGCGATGTATGTAATAAGTTTTTGTTATAATTGTAATTATCATTTACCTGTGAAATAACTAGACTGTTGCACGATCATATGATGGAGCATGACATCACGACTGTCGGGTTGTTATATCCAGGGAACATGGCGTACGTGGTAAATTATGGAGATCGCTAGTATCTGGATAGAGCACTCGAGTCCTATCAATCGCGACCCTGGATACTTACGCCGTTAGTTATATCTATCAAAATTGTATGTCGTCTAAACCATTTCAAACATGTATTCTGGTTTTTTATATTGATTATGAAGCTAATGACTAACGTTTTTTCAATTGTAGGTATCATTGGGTGTTAGTTGTAATACGTTTGTTTGAAAACAAAGTGTATTTCTTTAACTCAATCAAGGCGACCGGTGGGCATAAGCAAATGAAAGTGAAGACTTTCGTTGACGAGTAAGTATTAAGAAGTTTATTTTTATTAATGAAATTCTTTATTTGTTAAGAAATTTATTTCTTATTGATTTGTTTTTTACATGTATTAAAGGTCTTGGCGGTAACTTCGGGAACGACACATGCCTCAGCTTAAGGCTCGACCAGATTAGATTGATGTTCCCGGATCGGAGTACCCCAACAATTCGCGCAACCAGGGGGTAGAGTGTGGATATTATACGATGCGATATTTATGGCTCATTGTCACTTTGTGTGCTCCGTGATCTTTACTGTTACACGATGTAAGTTTGTTTTAGTATGTTTTTGAAACTAATAAAGTGTTCATCATCATTTTGTTTTTCATAGATTATTAAACTTTATGTTGTATGTTGTTTTCGTATTGTAGGTGTTTCAGTCTACTTCGCCCTATACCGTAGCCAAATTAGATAAGGTGAGAGAGTTTTGGGCAGGGTTTTCTTGATGAACTAGTGTAAGTTTTGTGTTACATTGTATAATATTAGCTAAGTTGTATGACTTTTAGAATATTGTAGTTTATTTGTTAAATGTTGATATTTTTTAGATGAACAAGTGATGGATGTAAATGTTTACTTTTTTTTGGTGTAATGCATGTTGTTGTTTAATTTGGTTTTGTGAATCTATTTGTGTTGTTGGGTTGTGTTTGTAGTTGTTGTTGTGTTGTTGGTTTTGTAATTTTACACAGAATTCTATGAATTTTGTGCAAAATTGCAATTGTGGTGGATGGTTGGCAAACAAAGTGCGCTGTAAAAATATTATTTGCATTGGTTGTTTGCAAACAACCGATTCAAATGCCCCTTCCCAGAAATGGGAAAGGAGCATTTGCATCGGTTGTTTGCAAACAACTGATGCAAATGTTCCTTTCCCATTTCTGGGAAGGGGCATTTGAATCAGTTGTTAGCAAACAACCGATTCAAATACTCTTTCCTAGAAATGGGAAAAGAGCATTTGCATCGGTTGTTTGCTAACAACCAATTCAAAAGCCCCTCCCCAGAATTGGCTCCACCTCTGGGAAGGGGCATTTGAATCAGTTGTTAGCAAACAATCGATGTAAATGCTCTTATCCAGAGGTGGCGCCAATTCTGAGAAGGGGCTTTTGAATCGGTTGTTAGCTAACAACTGATTCAAATGCCTCTTCCCAGAAGTGGTGCATATTCTGGGGAGGGGCTTTTGAATCAATTTTACAACTGATGCAAATAGTTACCTCAGCATTTGCATTGCAAGCATTTGCATCGGTTGACAACCAATTTAAAAAGGTAAAAATAACTGATTCAAAAGACCTTTTTGAATAGTGAAAATGAACTACCCGTCTATAGTTTAATTGGGTTGAGTTGGCTAAAAGATATTGAGATGCCCTCGCCCGTTGTGCGGGCTAGCTATAAGAGATTGAGATGTTATACTTGTTTGTCCAAGTGCTAACTAGATCAGAGTAGTTACCACTTGAGGGAGAGTGTTAGAGTTCCCATATTGAAAAATAAAGAAGAATACCACTAGCATATATAGAATAGTAAAATCCTACCTATCAGCTTAAGCTTTTGGGTTAGAATAGTGGATCCTGATTTTATATGCAAGTGGTTAATTTTACCCGACACTCCACTTGTTGTTCTCGGTCCGCTAGGATTTCTACGTATACTATATTTAGACGGTTTAGTTCAAGAAATTTGAGAGGAAAAGAAAAAGAAATAGTTTCCGTCATTTTTCTCATCAAAATGGGAGTAACTTAGTTCTCCCTCTTATTATTCACCAAATAAGAAAAATCCTTCTCATTTTCATTTTCTTTCCATCTCAATTTCCATGAAGCAAACATAGTGTTAAGTGTTACAAAAACACCCTAATAGTGATAATATATCTAGGCACAGACAAGGTAGTGCCAAATTCAGCCTCGCACAGCATTGCGCCATGTGGCATTTTCTCTCCATCGGCAAAGGCATGGCGCAATCCGTGCCTAATGCGCGATTTTTTTGTAGTGTCAAACTGCTCATAGATGAAAAAGTATTGGTACAAATCCTGGCCTTAATTATTTAGCCAAAGCCTCGCACAAAAACAAACTTTGAGGTTATCTGCCTAAGTATGCCGTAATTATTACCAATAATTGAACTAAATAATGCATGCATGCATGCATAATCACGAGTAGAACTTGTAATCTTTGGCTTGTAATACTATTTGCCTCAGTGCACCTATTGGAGCTACACTCATCAAACCAACTCCAAGTACAATGCATCCCTGAAATTAACAAAAACAAAAAGAGAGGAAAACTTTAATTTTTGTATATATATATATATATATATATATATATATATATATATATATATATTGCATAGAGTTATAACAATAATGTTCAAAATGAGATGTTCCATTTGTACATTAAGCAGAAACATACACACACCGACACTCATGCGCGATAATATTTTTACAAATGAAAAAATACTTCACAAAAAAGTAAAATGAAAAAGAAAAAATAATGCTACCATGTATTATTCTCTCCTTCCAAAAGTGTTCTTCCAAGTCACTATTCATATGGTCAAATTTAATCATTTCCTTTGAGTTTTTACCTATTCTCATTAGTTATTTGATATATATAAATTTTTGATGTAGTTTTGAAATATATAAATTTTATTTTTAATTGTACATTTTTAGTTAAATAAATTAAATTAAAAATAAAGTGGGTCAAACGATTAAAACTCGTAAACAGAAATAGGACCAGAAGAACATTTTAGTGCTCTATGTGTAAGAAGGGTGGGGATTAAAAGCATACCATGTTTATGATCCAAGTCCAGCTTAATATCTTGGGCTTCTTGATCTTTAGCCATATGATGCATGGAAGCTGCAAGATGTGTAGACCAAACGACCAAGTTAGATTTTTTTTTAAAATTTGATTTTCAAGAAAATGTTAAATAATGACATGAAATGGTATGATACGATAAAAATAAAATAAGTGAAATTTGCACTAAATAGAATTAAAACATGAGTCATTTTTTAATGTAAGACTTAAACTTTTTTATTTTCTATATAGTACTTAATAATGTCTAGTGAGAGAAATAATGTCCAGTGATGGTAGACATTTACTTGAATAATGATTAATGAATAATGACCAATGGTCCTACTTTGAAAATAAAAACATACGGTCTTATATTGAGAAAGTCATTATGTTTTAGTCTCATTTAGCTAAATTTCTCATTAAATAAATTATAATATAAACTTAATATAGAAAAAATTATTCTGAAATGTGTTTTTGAAATACGAGTATTATACTTTATAATCTAAATATTTATATACAAATAGAGATATAAATGATCAAATTATTGTATTAAAGTATGAAAAATATGAGAATAGTGGGAGGTGACTTACAAAATAAGAGGTAGGTGCAAAAGCAAAGCCTCCAAAGAATCCAAGTAACCCACCAAAGAATGGGAATGTGCATGCCACGAACATAGTCAATGCTGCACCCACAATGTTATTTATAATTAAAAAAAAGTTTGATTAAAAAAAATCAAACTGAGACGAAATTTGTTGGATAGGGAAAATAAAATTAAACGAACAAATCGTATATTATTAGACACTTTGTGAAGTCAAATAAAAAGGTCATAATTTTTTAAAAAAAAAGAAATCAACAAATTAAAGATTTTATTTATGTAAATATTACTCACCAACGTAAGTAGTACGTGTGAGGAATCGAAGTAATGTGGTGGGTTTAAAGTGCATGGACCTCACTAGCCAACCTTCCACCGTATCAAACAGTGGCATTGCAAACACCTACACATACATATATGTATGAGTAAACGTTCAAATTAAATAGTGTCATCAGATAGCATTTTCAAAACCCTAAAACGAAATATCGAATCTGTTGCCAGACGTGTTCACAAGAAGTTGTATGAATACCTACCTGGTAGCTCCCGATGACATGAATGACAACAAACATGTTGGCGGCGGCGATGAGCCAGGCGGGTTTCTGGAGGGAAACGAGGATGTTATCCTCGACGGAGTTTCCGTACACCCAGTAGCCCACTATGGCCACCGGAAAGTAGCAGAGGAGCACGACGGCGTAGGCGACCCAGACGCCCTTCATCATGGGCTTCTTTGATGGCGTCTTCGGGGTGGAGGGGATGGAGGCTTGAATCTCCAGAACCACGTTGTGGCCCGCGTAGGCGAACGCCACGTCTCCCAGCCCGCTGAAGAACTGGAACACTCTTCCCGCGGTGGTCGACGACCTCGGCGCGTAGCTCACGCCTGCATGCACGCCCTTGTGGGCTGATGCCACCCACGCTATGCTCGAGTAGCTGGCATGCACGCACCAAAGAAATATGTTAAACTTAATTCAAAATTATACTCCCTCCATCCTTAAATAAACTTCCGTTTTTGGCTTTTTGAGGATTTAAGGGAGGGATATTTTGTGTTGACTTTCCAAAAATACCTTGATGTAATGTGTAAAAGTAAGATGTGATATGTAGATTATTAGTAAAAAGGTATGATGTGATAGGTAGGGTATGAAAAAGTAAGGGGTAAAAGGGGTTTTTTAAGGGAAAAGAGAAGTTTATTTGGGGACAAAGGAAAAATGAAAGAGGAAATTTATTTAGGGACGGAGGGAGTATTACTTACGTTGACCTTTTGTACTCAATCACTTTCAATATATGTTTGACCTATAATTAAATAAAGTCTATAAAGTTTATTGATTTGATAAAATAATATTTTGAAAATATTATATAAAACAAATCTAAAATTATTTTTACATCAATATCTAAGTGCAAAGGGTATATCATCAAATTTTCCTTTAATCCTACTTACTTTTTTTGGGTAATTTACATAAATAAGACTAAAACATAATGACTATCGTAATATAGGACCATGTGTATTTATTTCTCAATGTAGGACCATTGGTCATTATTCATTAGTCATTATTCAAGTAAATTTCCACCTATCACTGGACATTATTCCTACTCTCTGTAGACATTATATCAAGTCTTATTTAGGGAATAAAAAGTTTTAAGTCTTACATTGAGAAATAACTTATGTTTTAGTCCTATTTAGGGTAAATTTTTCAACTTTTTTTATATCATCTAACCTGTTAGACATATATGGAAAGAAGTCTAGTTATAGTAGAATTGTTATTTATGTTAGTTTACTTATTTGGTGAATCCTAGTCCATGTAGGGATCCTCACCTATATAAACATCCATGTACACAATTATTCCTTAAGAGTGAATTCATAAATCAACATGGTATCGGAGCACGGAGATCCGTCTCGACCTACTCCGTCGCTGCGTTAACCAAAAAAAAAAAAAAATTCGGCGTTGCCGATCTGCTTCTCCCTCGCACCAGCTTCTGCCATGACCAGTCATGGCTGTCTTATCACCTGATCCTATGGATCATCTTCCTACGGGTCCCAAATTGTTTGTCCGAAATCTTCAATCCCTAACTCCGGTTAAGCTTGATGACACCAATTATCCCTCTTGGTCTGCTACTGTTCGTGCAAATCTTCTTGCTCATCGCTTACTCAGTTA